GGAGGAATAGTGCCCCATCGTGGGTGTCAGTGGGGGAGGAATAGTGCCCCATCGTGGGTGTCAGTGGGGGGAGGAATAGTGCCCCATCGTGGGTGTCAGTGGGGGGGAGGAATAGTGCCCCATCGTGGGTGTCAGTGGGGGGAGGAATAGTGCCCCATCGTGGGTGTCAGTGGGGGGAGGAATAGTGCCCCATCGTTGGTGTCAGTGGGGGGAGGAATAGTGCCCCATCGTTGGTGTCAGTGGGGGAATAGTGCCCCATCGTTGGTGTCAGTGGGGGGAGGAATAGTGCCCCATCGTTGGTATTAGTGACACAAATGATGGGGCACTATCCCTTCCACTGACACCAATGATACTTACCTTGCTGACAAAATTCCTGCTCCAGCCTGGGCTCGCTCTCTCCCTCTCCCATGTACAGGTAGCATACCTGGCTGCAGCAGCAAAATTTGCACTTACCTGTCAGCTGTCTTCCTTCTCTGGCCTCTCTCTTCACTCGCTCCTGCAGCTCCCTCGATCTTCTTTGATCTCCGCGCGCTGCCGCTCGGCTCCTCCTCTCCAAGCTCCACCTCCTCGCCGATGATTGGCCGCCTGTGTGCCTCTCCTGAGCTACAGTTCCGGTGGCCAATCAGCGGCGAGGAGGCGGAGCTGTTGAGTAATCCCGGAGGTGTGGCCAGGTTACAGGGGCAGCATATCATCCCGCCCACAGATCGCCTGAGACAGGAGCGGTGTCTCGGTTCCTAAAAACCATCGGAAATATGTGTTTTCCGATGGTCTTAGGCGACCCCTGTGAAATGGTCGTTCGACCCCCAAAGGGGTCGCAACCCCCCAGGTTGAGAACCGCTGCTGTAAAGAAAAGATTTGTGTACTTATCTATTCTGAATCTGTTCCAGTCCAGTCCTAGAATCAGTTGTCAGCATTGGCTTCTGTGTAGAGGAAGGGCAGTCAACAACAGATGCCCCATAGTTAGTCTGTGGGTGACGTCATTTCCCAGACATTTCCAGCTGTTGGCCTTTTCTCCTGCACACAGAAGCCACCACTGGAGACTGAACCAGAGTGGCTTCAGAAGAATAGGTACAGTGGATATAAAAAGTCTACACACCCTTGTTAAAATGTCAGGTTTCTGTGATGTAAAAAAATGAGACAAAGATAAATCATTTCAGAACTTTTTCCACCTTTAATGTGACCTATAAACTGTACAACTCAGTTGAACAACAAACTGAAATATTTTAGGTGGAGAGAAGCAAAAAAAAAAAAAAAAAATATATGGTTGCACAAGTGTACACACCCTCTTAAAATGGGGATGAAGCAGCAACATTAAAGGTGCTGCAAGAATATCTGGCAAGTACTGTCTGTGTAGTACATGTGCTAACAATCTCCCATATTCTTCATATGTCTGGGGTAGAGTGGCAAAACGGAAGCCTCTTCTTACGAAGAAAAACATCCAAGCCTGACAAAATGTTGCAAAAACACATCTGAAGTCTCCAAAATCATGTGGAAAAATGTGTTATGGTCAAAATTTTGCGTGGAATGTGCAAAATTATGGTCACTTCTGCATAGAAACCAATCAGCTTCTAATCTGAGCTTGTTCATTAGACTTTGGCAATATAAAACCCGCAATCTGATTGGTTTCTATGCAGAAGTAAGCCTGATTTTGCACTCTCCAGCTTCAGCAAATAATCCCCAATGTGTCATGAAAAACCCATAAAATGTAGTTTACCTCATTTATAGAATTTGATTTCTGTGTCAACGCAGTCATAGAAAAGATCTACCACTTCCGCAGGGTCTAATGGATTGGAACTATTAAGCAGGTCTTCCATGGCATCTATACCTTGTTTCTCCAGATCTAACATGGTGCACAGAAGTTTATCTCCTGCTTCCTACACAAACACAATGAAAACAGCAATAATTGATTTTAATGATTATATCAAATTGCCACTCATGTCCAACAGTAGGTCCAGCCAGATGCTTCCATATACCTTTTCTCTATCAAAATAATCCTACTGGACCTGAAAGAAGCCCATGCCTGAGCACATGCTTTATGGTATTTCTGATTCATAGTGGCCAAACACTTATCTGTATGATAATTTTATCAATTATTCAATGGAACTAAACTGATCAAACTTAGTAAAAATCAGAACCAGAAACAGTCAATTTGATTGATTTAGAGAGCTCTGGACTAGTTTTGATGCCAAATCAGATAGCTCTGGCAGAATTTTATTGATCACTTCTGATTGACTGAACAAATATCTGTGTGTCCTTAATACACCAATTATAATACAAGTCGATTAAATGATTGTTTTAATAGCTTGTTAAAGTTTATGATTCGTAAATTGTATTTCCAATTAAAATTTACAAAGTGAAACAATACTATGTATGTTGCATTTTTCAATATTTTAATCAATGATTATTAATTGTTTTTTTTGTGATCTTTCATACCTAAATTGATCAACAATTTCTACTTGTTTGGTCACCATCAGAGGTTGGACTTCCAACACCACTAAACTGCCAGTATTTGGATTATCCGACAAGTACCATGTATAGCTGTGACTGTTCTGCCTGTGAACTGCACAATATACATAGTGAAAGGGATTTCAATTTTTATTTTCTGGAAGAAGAACACCATATATCACAGAGTGACAACAGTAAACAGAGTTGTTTGGTTACTAGGCCACACTGGGTAGCATAGGCCTCGGTAGGCAGGAGCGTGTGATATGGTGTCACTTTGCTCTTGCTTAAATTCCGCACACTGACAATAGACACAGCGCTCTGCCATCTCACACACAGAGGTGTCCATATTGAGTCTGTAAAGCAGTGGCCCACCCGAATGCCAGAGCCTCATTGTGCTCTGCAGCACTCTGGCCCAACACTCTGCAGGGAGCCCAAGAAGAAGAGCCTCACAGTGCTTGGGTGCCCACTGTCTCCATAGATACATTCTTACTCGACCACTGTACTGCATGGTGCATACCAGATGCCTAGTGCCCATCCAAAAAGCTCTTGCCAACAGCCTGACGCATCTAGGCCTTTGGGAGAGGCTGGAGAGGACCCAAGACAGACAGTGTTTCTGCTAGTAACAGCCAGTAAATCTGTGATTCAAGGCAGTAAATTACCTTTCATTGCTTTTTAATCCCATTACTGGCACAGTTATTTAGTTAAAACATAAATTTGAAATATTATATCAAAGTGGATTTTCACCCCCCCCCCTTGCTGTCTTTCTGCAAAGTTCAGATATTCACCCACTGAGCAGATCCAGCATTGTGTCCTGAGATCCTCTTGCTTTCTGCCACTGGTCCAGCACCGCCATGTTGTTTGTGAAGCCATCGAGAGGCCCACTGGCTGAACTGATTCCTGATGGAATGCTGCTAGGCCTGCCCCCCTCCTCCTTGTGAATGAAGGGCTATGCCTCCTGGGATATGTGATGTGCATACCGCAGGAGGCACAGTGAGCACTCTACACGTCAATTGCCTAGGCCGAAAAGGTAAATAAAAGCTTAAAAAAAAACAAAAACAGAGCTGTCCATGTAGAGCAGGAGTGTCAAACTCCATTTCATGGTGGGCCGTATCAGCATTATGGTTGCCCTTAAAGGACCGGTTGTATCTGTAAGACTAGATGTCCAGAGCACCCACCTCCCAATACATCAGATGTCACGAGTCCCACACCCTCCCTAACATCACCATGCACCCCCTTTGGGGGCAGAGCTGGAAAGCAGAAAGTGCAGAGTCTGGAGGAGGACCAGAGGAGGAGTTGAGTCAGTTACCAAAGTCAGCTGACTGCTGAGAGCAGGGGAGGCAGAGATGAGGGAGTGCTGCAGCTGCTCTGAGAGGTGCAGCATTTGGCAGAGAAGTTCTATTCTCTCTGCTGCCGACTGCTGAGACAAGGTGGAGGAGGAGACAAGGGAGTACCTGAAGGAGAGGTGCAAGGGCCACATGAAATGGCCTGGAGGGCCGGATTTTAGCCGTGGGTCTAGTGTTTGACACCTGTGTGTAGAGGAAGGGAAGAGGGTAGGATAAGAGGGAGGTTTATTCAGAGGGTGAAAATCCAATTTAATTACAAACATTTTGCTCTTGCCAAGTACAAGTTATGGAAGTGCGGTATGCAACTTAAAAATTGTTGGAAACCACTAGCCTATAGCCAGTCTTAGTACTCTTACAGTTATACATTTAAAAACTTACCAAAGCAATAAAATGTATGTATGTAAAAACTGTAAGATTTGGATAAACATGGGGAGAGTTAAACCCTTCAGTTTATTTTTTTATCCGTATCCTGGGAGATTTTCCTTCACTTCCTGTCCTGAAGACATGACAGGAAAAGAGACAAAATCGCACCAAAATGAAGAGACCTCCCTTTTAGACATTTATCACCCAAACAGTTGTTCCCATGGGAAGATTTCACCCCACTTCTTGTTCTGATGACAACCGTAAACCTTTTGATTCACAAAACACTTTGGGGTTCATGTACTAAAACTGGAGAGTGCAAAATCTGGTGCAGCTGTGCATGGTAGCCAATCAGCTTCTATCTTCAGCTTGTTCAAACAAGCTTTTACAATAAAACCTGGAAGCTGATTGGTTTCTATACAGATTTTGCCTAGCTTTAGGCTAGGTTCACGCTAGTGAGAAGTGGAAGCCACTGTGGAACCTGCACTTTGTCCCGGAGCGGCAACCACCCACACACAAAAAGCGGGATCCATGGGTGGGTTCCATTAATCCTAATGGCATGCTGCCCGCACTGGAAATTGCACCCGCACTCGGTGCGGCTTCTGGAAAGGTGCTTGGATCTTTTACCTACGTTTTGCGGGGCACGGCAGCCCTTTCAAATGTGGCCCACAGAACACATATAGGTGTGAACCTAGCGTACGTAAATGAACCCCTTTCTGTCTTGGTAAAAATGGTCATCAGGACAGTCAGAGACAGCAATAAGAATTGGCAGGGGTCCCAAACCTTTTTCTAAAAGACTAAAAGAAAAGTTTTGGTTATACATTAATAAATGGTGGTACAATGAGGAAATATTTAGGTATAAATGAAATAATTATAACTTCTGATAACAAGATCACTTACTTTGTCATTGTCCATTAAAGATCTAGAGCACTGATGAGCTTCATATAGTTCATGTTTATATTCGGAATGTTCATGATGACAGTCTTCAGCACAAGATGACTGGACCTTTAGGACCACTTTCACATCTTCCACAAATATAAAGGGCTTAAATACAGACCTGGAGATCAACAAAACCAACACAAATGACAAAGACTACACAAACTCAAGCCTATTAAAGTGTATGTGAACCCAAAGGGCCCTTTTACATACTCTTTCCAATCAGGTACCCCTGTTTTTTAAGGGGAAGAGAATGGAAGCTCCATGCAGGTCTATGGACAGGCAGATGCTCAAGGATCCTCTGCTGAGAAGAGTGTGTTCATGTAAAGGGACCCTGACAGTAAACTCTCTCCCTTCTGGTTTGTTGAATATACCACTTGAAGGGTTTTGCTGTATGTGTCTGGTACATTTTAAAAAATACCCGTTGATCTTGCTGGAAATCTTGTGAACTGAACTTGTGAACTTTCTGTGCTCTCCCGCCTTTGCTGTTATCAATTACATTGTTTTCTGAGGACTACAGGACTATGCCACCTTTATGTTATGAACAATATGAGAGGGTCAGGGTTCTGTAATCCTATTTTCTGTGCAATTCACATGTGATTCTGTGTAGTACAATTTGAGCCATTAATTTTGAATGGCTCAAATCGCACTGCATGTGCATCAAAAAGGTACCTACAGCATTTTTGGGAACACACAGGCACCAGATTGCATGGTTGTTATGTACCATGTGATCCGGTTCAGACAGATGCACTGCATTTTGCAACCTACTCATTAACTTTGAATTGACACCAGCAGCAGATCGCAAAACCGTGCATTTGCAGTGTGGTCTGGGAAACACACAGGGATCATTACATTTCCGCACCGCACATGTGTGAACAGGGCTAAGTAATTTCCAGTATGGCTAGTAACAAGATTGATGCTTCATGGTGAATCTGTTTAAGCCTGGAAAAAAGAAAAATGTAAAACCTGATCCCACATTATGTATCTGGCATTTCTGTAGGCAGAGGAAGACTTGTACTGTGTACCTTGAGGGGTCTGGTGTGCCAGTAAGGAAGTGAATACAAGGCCGTTCCTCATCCTGAGGTAGAACAGACACTGAACTAGCTGTAGTCAGGAAGGTGTCAGAGTCCACACAATTTCCACTACTTTTATTACGAAGGACATTTATCACCGATTTCACAGTCAATTCTAGAGAAAAACGATACATGTAGAAAAAAATTAGTCAATTGATATGATCTAATAGCCGAAGGATCCTCCACAACAATCTGACATGGATAATACATGGGGTGAAGAGGAGCCCCTGCTTGGCTTTGACACCTGGCTAGCTAAGGGATTAGCCAGCATACGGGGCATGGGTGCAACGAACAACCTTTTCTGCTTTAAGGCTTTTACTGTGCCCCACTAGGGAGACGTCCTCTCACTTCCTATCTTGATGAAAGGACAGAGGTATAGAACCTTGTGGGAATTTTCTGAATTGTGGACCGAAAAAGCCTTTATCAAGAGAGCAGGTAAAGATTAGAACCTCTGTGAAGTTTTTAGTGCTTTCTGTGCCTTCCTGTCCCAGTGACCCCATTCCATCATTTCTTATCCTGATGTCATAAGGATGACAAGTGAAAGAAAACCTCAATGGAGTCACAGGCAGAAATATAAAACAGGACAGAATCTACAACACTCCCCCACTCTATATGGTTTAAAACACAGTGGTGACCTATCTTGAAGGTTCTTCACCCATGGCATGCAAGCAATAAGGTATATTTTAGATGCATGTGACTGTATAGACCCCTCATGGGGCACACATCCTACTAGATTTGCAGAATTCCTCTCCCTACAATGTAACAAAGGGACAGGGAAGCTGAGGACATCATCGCCTTATATGACCATATTTGGATAATGATACAGCCAGCATTCCCTCCCGTTTCGTTATGTGAGTATGTGGGGCACGGAATTCCCTTGCCGCAGCTAGTTGGACTGGTGGCCTATAATCACGTGACAACTTTCTGCAGACCCAAACCTTAGCTCATCAATATTCATGAGCAGAGAGAAAAGAGATGCTAGTGAGAGACAGAATGGTCCATGGATATAGAAGTATCAGAGTATATCGGCCGAGTGGGATCAGACTAAACCAATCACTTCAGCAAATTGCACTATTTTGATGAATTTTAAAGAATAAGTTCAATTTTGGAATATGTTACATGTTCCCCTCTCCCTCTGATCCCCCCTCCCTGTGACAGCGGGTGGGGGATCTTCTCCCCACACCCGCTGTCATGATTTTTAAAAAAATGAACGAACTACAACTACCATCAGTCACCATGGCCGACAGCTTGTAGTTCTCAATGGACTACGAGGGCACTGGTGAGCGATCACATAGTTCATCGATTCTCCCTGCCATTCAGTAATTGTCTGCCGGTATGGGAGGTATGAGCAGACAGCTTACTGAGAGTCTGCAGAATCTTGACATTGCACCCCTGATCTTTCGATCACAGGTCAAATTCTTCACAGGCTGCAGAATAAAAAAAAAAAGAATAAATGCACATTTTTTTAACCGGCAAAAAAATGTGCATTTATTTATTTATTTATTACAAAAAGGTGAACTTATCCTTTGCTTACATCTGAAATTCCATATTTTCCATGTTATCCTCCAGTTATATTCAAACTCAATGTCAGATAACATTAAAAAGTTATCATTTTGTATTTATCTGATCACAACCCCTTTAATCCTTTCATTGCCGGGTCCGTACGGACCTACAGCACTGCTTCTAGTTGGCCAAGTCTGTACACTGTACGGATCAACATCCCTCCTCTACTATAAGCTCATGGTCATTTCAGTGACCATGAACTTATAGCAGAAATGTTCATCAGACTCTGCTGAACAAAAGGATAGCTCTGATTAGCGACTAACAAGCCGCTGATCAGAGCAATTAACTTAAAATGTAACACCCCCCCTCGCCCTCTTGCCTCCGCTTCTCTGCCCTGTGTCTCCTGTCCCTCCACCCACCTATGCTGAGATCGAAAATTCCCCCCCCCCCCCCCCCAACTGTCCCTGACACTGCCTTACCTTGGCTGCCCTGCTTACTCCCCCCACCCCCCCTCGCAAACCGCAATCTCTTTTGTGGCTACCCTAACAAAATACAGGATAAACTTTTATATTTGGCAGGAGTTTTGTAAAATTTGCTGTGTTTTTATTTGCTACTGATTTTAGTGTATTTTCAGCAAAAATATTGCTTTGATAAACATTTGCGCAAATATCGTGGAGTCTTAAAAATCAGTAGCACCTTCTTTTTATACTACCGGTCATGTGCTTTCAGACAATATATAGTTTGGGGGAGGTCTTTTACAAACTCTGAAAGCTGTGATGTAAAAATAAAAAAGCAATGGAAAAATTGCAAAAAAGGGTTTGGCCAGCTGGGTTTAAAAATGGAGAGCAGGGCCTGGCAGCAAAAGGGTTAAAGAAGAACTCCACATTTAGCCAACAATGCAACGTACATTTGCACAACATTGCATATGCGCAAGTATAAAGCTCTTTTTAACCAGTTGAGATCTGCCATAATATGAACATGAGATACTCTGACAAATCAGATGTGGCAAGCCGTGACAGCTCTTTGGGGAGTTAAAAGAAAACAGTTATGGGCTTTACAATGGCTTAGTGGTTAGCAATTCTGCCTTGCAGCACTAGTATTTCCAGTTCAAGTCCTGGTCAAAATACTAGTTTGTCCTCCTTGTTCTTGCTCCCACACTCACTAACCATGCAGTGTAAACTGGCCCTAGTGTGTGTGTAACATAGGGACCTTTCATGTGAGCATTTTAAGGGCAGGGATGTACTGTATGTGAAAAGAAAGTATGCCAAGTGATGCATAAAGTGTGAGTGCTATAAAAAACACCTGTAATAATTAAATGAATATAAGAATTACAGCAGGACATCTTTTGTTTTTCTATTAGTGCTGCACATTGTACTTTATATGTTTTATATCCACAGCACCATTTAGTGGCAAAGGGCAAAAGATTCAGGTTCATATGAAGACCAAGGGATGTCAGGCTCAGCCCTGTTTACATCTGGAAATTTGCGATTGCCGAGATTCTGCCCACGATTCCAAATCGCACTGCAATCATGGAAAAACACGGCACGCATGTTTCTGTGCCATTCATTTTTAATGGTGCCTCGAATGCGGTGTGGTTTTATCATGCTTGTCGCTTGGCAATTATGGAAAATCGCCTTGCACGAAGCTTGTTGCCCAAAAAGGAGCAGGAGCTTCTTTTGGGCAACAAGCTTCACGTGATGCGGTTTACCACGATTGCCGCATGACAATCGCAGTAAAACCACACTGCATTTGAGATGCCGTTAAAAATGAATGGTATACAAACATGCCATTATTGCAATTCTGCCCATGATCCCAAATCACCAGATGTTTATGGGGCCTCAAGTTTGACCATTTTAATTTTTTTCCCAGGGACTGTAATTCAAAACAGCCAATCAGACTTCATATTTTAGTGAAGCGATTGTTAGGCTGAAATCGAATTAGTTCCTATTTGAAAATTCACTTTGCACGTTACCATTCCTGCTCAAAGTGTGTTTACAAAGTCCTTTTAAAATAAAACCGTAATTGTCAACTTAGAAGGTATATGGGTCCTCATATGTGGCCCCTGAAGTCACTAAAGTGCCACATATAATATTTATTATATGGAATAATGCAAAAGACTGTCAAAGACTGAGGACTTACTAGAGGAGATGGTCAGAGAGTTTACTAAAATGTATAGTTGGAGATTAGAGTCATGCTGTAGGAGACAGTCGGAGACAGGGGACATGTCACATGAAACTGCTAGTGATCACAGCTGTGTTACAAACCAAAGCTCCCATTGCCGACTGCTGGGGGCCACACTGTAAACACCAAAGGGCCGCATGTGGGGCACTAGGGAAATGATAAAAAATATGTATAAAGGTTGGAATCCATTCCACAAAGAGAAAATGTTTACCATCCTGGTTCTCTAAGGCCTCCTTCCCTGAACAATGATCTCTAGTGTCACCTTCTGAAAAAGCTTCAGAGAAGTTAAATTCTTTATCTTCACTCCACCATCCCTGGCTTTGTGCATAATTCCGAAGCTCTGGGTGTTCCAGATCTAGCTGTGTCTGTAGTGATAAATGGTTGCAGATACATCTCTCACCATCTATATGACAAGAAGAAATTCAAACAGGTGAATACAGAGTAGTACAATTGGGGGCATATTTATAAAGCAGTGAATGTGATTTTCACCATTCGTTGGTGATGAATCACTCACTTAAAACACAGTCACTGTTTTATACTGTTTACATAAAAAGATTTTTATGGTTGGCATGTTAATTCTCAGTGTTGTAGCTTTCTGTGCTAAGAAAATTTAGATACTGGGCACAATTGTCACAAATGTCAAATCACTATTGCAGTGTGTGGTATTTACCAAAAATAGCAAAAACGCTTAGTAAATACCGCATACAAAAACCTTACCTTCAATTCACAAAAGGATATAAATAATTAAATGCATGCGGTAATTAATTAGTGGCGCAGGCAAGCGGTATGTACTGGTATCAGTCAGTAACTGTCATGGGTTGTTAAGGAGTGTGTGGCTGCCGCATCCTTAGCAACCTATGAGTCATCAGCTGTTAGTGTGGTTCCCTGTTGACAGCTGAAGTAAAAAAAAAAAATAGAATTTCTGGCAATTAACAATTTAGCAAAAAAAACGGCATGGGGTCCCCCCCCCCAATCCTTACCAAGCCTTTTGAGTCTGGTATTGATTTTAAGAGGAACTCCCACACCAAAATTCCCCCTTTCCCTCCTGAACCATACCAGGCCATATGTCCTCAACACAGCAGGGTGCTTTGGGGCAAGGTGATGGGGACCCTGGCCGGTGGCTGTGGGAGTCTGTGGGTGGGGGGCTTACTGGAATCTGGGCCCCTCTAGATCTTGCCCCCCCATGTGAATGAGTGTGGGGTACAAGGTACCACTACTCATTCACAAAAAAAAAAAGTGTAGTGTAAAAAACTATATTAGACAGTTTTTGTCCTTTATTAAAACAACAAAAATGTAAAAAATGCCTCTGTAATAGATCAAATGTCAACCATGATGCCTGCTGCCACCACTGACCTGAGTAAAAAAAACTCTGCACCCGAACTGGCTCCCGCCGTCTGACAGCTCAGCCAGCCAGACAGTACTTAAATATATCTAAGGGGTGGGGTCACCAGGTCGACGGGGTGACCCTGGCCCCTTGTGACATCATCAACCAGGACATACTGGGTCAATGATGTCACAAGGGGTGGGGTCACCCTGTGGAGACCCCCTGCCCCAAACCCCCCCCCATGTTGAGTAGCCTGGTATGGTTCAGGAGGGGGGGGAGCTCGCTCCCCCCCCTTCTCTTTCCTGACCTGCCGGGCTGCATGCTCAGATAAGGGTTTGGTATGAATTTTATAGGGGGACCCACGCCATTTTTTTTTTTATTTTGGCATACCAGACCAGAAGGGCTTGGTAAGGATGGGGGGAGTGAACCCCATGCCATTTTTTTTTTTTTCCGCTAAATTTCTAATTCTTTTTGTCACAGTCAGCTGTTAGAGGGGAACCCAGCTGACAGCTGACACATTAACGGATGTTTTCACTACTAGAATACCACATGACTTAATAAAATAACCCATGCTGTATTTTAGTAGCATTTTTTAGGGAATGCCATCGTTTTCGTTTTAAAATGCTGTGCCGTATCTTACCGCATACTTGGATTCAGTAAGATACCGCTTAGTGAATTGTTCCCAGTGACCCTAAATGTCCCTGATCTCTAACCCAATCTGACTCATCACTTAACATTAACATTTAGCCTTAATCATAAAAGTGCAATCAAATCCATACATAAAAATGTAATATTGCAGCCTATCTGTCCTCAGATGTGGTGGCTGCATTAGTTTTAATTTTTCTGGCTTTTTGCACCTTTAGGTCTCATGCACACAGGACATTAGATTTTCTGAATATCTTTTACTCTCTGCAGGAATAAACGCTGCATAAATAATGTGCACAAAGCTGCATATTGCACACGTGTTTAGTCACATTTAGACGTGTCGAGCGATTAAGCATTAATGGATTTAATGGGCCAGAATATTGATTGATTCTGGCCCTTTAAATGTATGAATGCTCAAGTGCTAAACAAGTCTACGGTTTAAGCGTGTTTATTTATTTATTATATCTTTTATTAAATTTTCTTTTTAAAAAAGAACACTGCAAAACAATCATATATTTTCATGACATCATAGGTATACACATTATCCCCATCCCCCCCATGTTTAAGCATGTTTAGATACATTTACAAGCATCAAATGCTTTTTCTGCTCAAAAACTTCTCTTCTGAATGTGCAGGTGATTTTTTTTTCATCCTGTAAACATTCTTCTAATACGCCTGTAAACATCTATGTGTGCATGGACTAACATACAGGTGTGTTTACAGGCTGAAAAAAAAAGCCTGTAAAAGAGGCTCTGTGCGCATGATGCCTTATTTCTACTTATTCTGTGAATAATGCACTTCAAGGCTTATGGTGGCTACATTCACTCCTCCACTGTATCTATGGGAGGAGCCATGTTTGTCACCCTGGGCTCCATTACAGGGGATGAGGGTGTTATTTTTTGAAGGTAGTCTGGAAGGAAGGAAACATTCTTTGCACTTTCAATTGAATTCACAGGACATGACAAGGACACTCATCCTGAATCTTGGGGGCCATAGTAGTCTTTATTTAATAGGTTTTAAACCAGAAATTAAATGACTATGTCTAATGCATGAACAGAAGACAGTATGGTTGATTGACAGTAGATCAATGCTCACTAACCTGTAATTTTTTCAGCAGCCCAAAATTTCCCCACCGTCTCCAGTAACCATGCCTCTGACCTATCCACAAGGAGAAAGGCACTTTGGAATCCCTGATCACTGTTCTGGAAGTAGCTGCCCCCTTGACCGTGTTCCTCTAGTAAAGACACTATTACATGAAGAGCCTCTTTGGCATTTGTTCCACGTTCAAGGCCAAGTCTGGAAAAAAAAAAAAAAAAAAACTTTAATAAGTGGCACTATAAGAAACTAACTACATTGAAGTACTAAAACCCAAACTTTTTTTTTGTTTTGAATAGAGTAGGGAAAGGATAAAACCCCTGACGTCTTTTGCCATCTTTGTCCCATCAGACACTAACACTGTGTTATATTTCTTTAAGAGTAACTCCGCTCTTGTTGAGAAAAAAACCTTCCCCTCTGGGTGATCTATGTACATGGCAAGGATTTTAACAAACTTTGTTACAGAGTCCTACCTTTTGTTATTCTGAAGGAAGAGCTGTTTGTTTGTTTGCTTGTTTGTTTGTCTGTGTCCATGTGGAAAGTGAATCTAATGGAAGTGGTTTCAGAATTATCAAACAGCTGCTGCACCTGCAGGGCTCTAATGAGGAAACCTGCAGGGTCTGCATCCCTTTAGATGTGATTTGCTATTAAGAGTATCTCACCAATAATGACATATTTGTTGCAGGGGATACCTGAAATCTGGCTTGTATCTTAGTGCAGACTTCTGGGAAAATCAGCAAGCCAATCACACAAGCAAGAAATGATGTTGCTGGTGGGCGTTCTGTACACCATCTGTGTACAGAACACCTCCAGGTAGCCATATTGCATTGCATTTTAAAGAAAATTACAGCAATGCAGATTGAAAAGATGGATGAGCACAGAGCTGGCACTGATGGACACTGACAGGTGGCGCTGCTGGGGCTACACAGATCATCAGGGCACACTGATCATCAGTGCTCTGATGGTCTGTGTAGATGTCCCCTCCGAGGAATGCCGATTACTGGCTCTCCTCTCCTCTCGAGCTGTCAGCGTGACAGGTCGTGAGGAGAGAAATGCAGATAACCGGCATTTCCCTGTTTACATGTGATCAGCTGTGATTGGACACAGCTGATCACATGACCGAGCCGACATCTTCGGCTCTTTCCGTAGATCAGTGATCCGCTGTGTCCAAGGGACACAGCGCACTGCCGATCGCCGGTGAGACGTCCTCATATGACGCCCTCCCAGAACGAGAGAACCGCCTTACGTCCGTCATATTACTATATGGCGGGCGGGAGGCGGTTAAGATAAGGCAGCACATGTGGCAACACACCTTAATGCAAGCGTTTTAACGTGAATATATGAATGGGCCTTCAGTCTCAGTAAAAGTGATCATCTGGATAAATAAAGAGAATTAATCTACGTAGCAGCAACACAGCAATAAAACCCTACAGGGCTTATAACCCCTTAGCTACTCAATCCAAAACAAAAAATGACATTGGAAGTACTTAAAAGACCAATTGTAGCTTTCTAAAAAAATGTCCTGTGATCAGCAAGAGAGCAGCCAAAGTCCTCTTCACTTTATGTTTGAGAAATGGTCTCTTTATAGTGGTACAAGGGTACACAGCCCCTACTTTGTCACCACTGTCACCAGCGCTGCAAACAGGTAGCTGGGGAAACAATAAAAAAATAAATATCAATGAGACAATTAACAATTATTAGCCCTGGTTTACACCGGTGCGACATGTCATGCGAATTGACCGCTCCAAACCTCATGGACAAGTCACACCCTATTGCCAACAATTGAACCATTAAAATCAGTGTGACTCCAACTTAGGGTTGCCACCTCATCACTTGACCCCTGGTTCACATCTGTGCAGGTGGTGCCGCTGCAGATGCACACAAGAATCCGTGCAGCCGCACCACCCGCACAGAGGAATGCGGACCCGCGGGCGGGTACCATTAATTCTAATTTCCGCACTGGAAATCGCAACCGTACTGGGAACCAAGGTTCCCGTGCGGGCTGCGTTTTCCAAAGAAGGGCGGAGAATTCTTCCCTGCGTGTCCCGGGAGTCCATTCAAATGAATGGGCTCTCGTGACGCGGCCCGCAGAAATGCAGAGATGTGAGCCTAGCCTTAAAACCGAATACATATTAATGACACAGGTTCTGTGGCTGATTAAGGTGGTAATTAAACTCACTTAGTGCTTTATCTGCTATTAAATTAGCCCCAGAATCTGTGTAATTAATATGTGCTTGGTTTTAAAGGGATGAGGTGGCACTGGTAGCCCTAAATTGGGATGAGGTGGCACTGGTAGCCCTAAATTGGGAAGAGGTGGCACTGGCAACCCTAAATTGGGATGAGGTGGCACTGGCAACCCTAAATTGGGATGATGAGGTGGCACTGGCAACCCTAAATTGGGATGAGGTGGCACTGGCAGCCCTAAGTTGGGATGAGGTGGCAACGATTTTGAAAGCAGTTCCTGCACAGTAGTTCCTGTATTTTCGGCAATATCAGGTGCAACTTGCAGAGACATCGGTGCATGAAACTGCACAGATGTCAGGCAAGTGACACCTGAAATCACACTGACCTGCGGCTTTGAAATCGCACTACTTCACTTTCAAAGTTGCATTCTGTGGGAACCAGGGCTTAGGTTGCATTTGCACCTGAATATTTTGTAGCTTATAGTAAGCCAAAAATTATGCGATTTTCTTTCCTGCAACCACAGGTTGCAAGAAAGAAAGTTACTCGATTCCCCCATCAACACAGTCAGAGTTGATAAGGGAATCCTTCCCACGAAGCTATTGTATTCTCCTGGCAGGGAGGTTCGGGACAACGCAGAGGGGAGCCGTCCCTGTCAGGAGAACACAGTGATTATTGCTAGAGTAGGGTTGCCACCTCATCCCTTTAAAACCAAACACATATTAATGACACAGGTTCTGTGGCTGATTAAGGTGGCAATTAAACTCACTTAGTGCCTTACGTGCATTAAATTGGCCTCAGAACCTGTGTCATCAATATTTGTTCGGTTTTAAAGGGATGAGATGGCAACTGTAGGCTAGAGGCTGTAGCCACTGGCAATCATCGCATGGAAAATCCAATAGGCTGGTTATAGCCAAGTTGTACAATCGTATTGGGTACAATCAGTCTGCCCCATAGATGGTTCAAATCTCAGCCAGTCCCTCCTGAACCGCCTGAGATTCAAACCATCTATGGCCAGCCTGAAGCTCAAAGCTACATAATACATAAACCCTCAAAAAATCAATTGTTTTCAATGGTGCCTGCTCACACCTGAGCGCTCCAACATCTGAGCCAAAGCCTGTCGCTCAAAAAAAAGTACAGGAGTTTCTTTAAGGGTCTATTTATAAAGGGTTTTTATTCAAGATTCACACAACTAAATGAATACAATTAGAAAGATGTGTGACTATTGAGTGAGTGAAAACATTTATAAATAGACTCCTTGCTTGATCCGCCCTGAATTGATTTCTGTCATTTTTTGGCAAGCAATTGGGCTTTAATGTCAGTGGAGAAAATCATACACCCAAAGTCTACACTGTACAAGCAGTAATCAAGGACAATATAAAACCAAGATGGTAAATATCATACACCTAGGTAAAGATGTTGATGCTATAGAAAAATGTGAAACTAATCAAGACTGTATGCCAGTACAAAAATATAAAGCAGGAGTAGGGTAATTTTTGAGCCTACTGTGCCAAAAGAAATGTAAAAATTCACAGTGCCAGAGATATAATATACAGGGGTTTGCGTGCACTTTTGCATGGAACCAGCTTCCTGTGCGAATCACATGCAATATGCCGCACCGTAAAAGTGTGAACCCAGGCTTACTAATTAAATCTGCAAGCTTTCGATTAAAATGTAAACCTACGTCTGTGGAAGTGCAACCAATGCACCTTCGCAATACACCTGCGTTGCAATACATGCATTGTGGTGTGCTGCATCAGAAAGAAAAAAAAGGTGCTTGTTGGGTTTGGTTTTTAATGTTAGTGCACTGGCAATGCATTCAAATCAATATGCTACCTTAAAGTAGTTGTAAATTACATTTTTTACTTTAATGCATTCCCTGCAAAAAAAGGTAAAAAATGTCCCAGCAGTTGTATGCCCCCCCCTCCCCCAAATACTTACTTGTTCGGTAGCAGCTCTCTCATATTTCCCTGCATTCACAATACAGAAAGGCAGTAGCAGGAGTCATTGGCTCCTGCTGCTGTCAATCACATCCTGCAAGCAGAGAGTAGGAGGCGGGGCCAAGCTGTGCTGTGTGTGTAGAGGGATGCACATGGGCCAGCTTGGGATCGAGCCCACATGTGCACCCCCATAGGAAGTGGCTTTCTATGGTGGCACATGGAGAAGAGGAGGAGACAAGAGCACTGGCAGGGGGAACCCTAGAAAAGGTGACACTCTGTGGAATACCAGTACAAACATATTTATTAATAAAAAATATATATTTTACCATTTACAGTCACTTTAACCACTTCAAGTCCGGACACTTTCACCCCCTTCCTGTCCAGGCCAATTTTCAGTGCTAGCACAATCTGAATGACAATTGCGCAGTCATGCAACACTGCACCCATATGATTTTTTTTGAGACAGATAAAATGTATTTATTCACCACTGGAATTTTTATTTTTTTTGCTATATAAATAAATTCACAGTGCCAGAGATATAATATACAGGGGTTTATTTACTAAAACTGGTTTGCGTGCACGTTTGCATGGAAACCAATCTGCTTTCAGGTTTTTTTGCTAAAGCTTAATTGAACAAGCTGAAGTTAGAAGCTGATTGGCTACAATGCACAGCTACAGTAGATTCTGAGTGAACCAGCTTTAGTAAATCTCCCCCACAATGTCTACTTCAAGAAAATGAATATTTCTGCAATAATAACCCCCAGCATTGGTGCCAGTGACAGCAATAATAACCCTCAACATTGGTGTCAGTGACTGTAATATTAAACCCCAACATTGGTACCAATGATTGCAATAATAACAGTAGAGTTAGTGACTGCAATAAAGCTTTCAACATTGGTGTCAGGGACTGCAATTTTAAACCACCAACGTTGCAGTTACTGACCACAATAATAACCCCAACACTGGTGTTAATGACTGCAATAATAACCTCCAACATTGGTGTCAGTGACTACAATAATAACCTCCAAGACTGGTGTCAGTGACTGCAATAATAACCCTCAACATTGGTGTCAGTGACTGCAATAATAACCCTCAACATTGGTGTCAGTGACTGCAATAATAACCCTCAACATTGGTGTCAGTGACTGCAATAATAACCCTCAACATTGGTGTCAGTGACTGCAATAATAACCCTCAAAATTGGTGTCAGTTACTGCAGTAATAACCCCAACATTGGTGTTAGGGACTGCTATATTAACCCTTACACTGGTGTGAAAGATTTCAATATTAACCCCCAACATTGGTGTCCATGACTGAAATAACCTGAACACTGATGTTCTTGACTGGTATATCCTAAATATTGATGTCCGTGACTGTAATATTAACCCAAACATTTGTGTCAGTAACTGCAATAATAACTCCCAACATGAAGGGAGGAGGTTTGGACCCCTTATACCCCCCCCATTTACATGCCAGGTCCTACTGCTCAAAACATATATATTAAATCCTGGACTGTGCCACAGATATAAAACAAGAATGGGCCTCCAATGTGAAAGGGAAGCAGCTATTATTTCTTTGGCGGTCTCCAAACCACCACTGACACTAGTGTATACACCACAAACTTGGGATCGGGTCGTCTCCAGTCAATGCTACTGCCGCAAGCTCATCCCGTTGTGCGTGGTGACGTCACATCCAGACCTCATCCTATGCATTTTGTCATCCAACGTGCTTCGGGTGGCAACACTTATAAATGTGAGTTTTATGTACTTGGTTTTATGAAATAAATCAGTTTTAATGGTTTTATGCTATGGGAGCTTCCCTCTTTCTTCCTCCTATATGGGATTGTGAGAGCTAAAGAGGAGCGTCCAGCCAAGCAGTTCTAGGAGAAGGATTAACATTACTGCAAATCGTTGCTCCTAAAGCTCATGCGTTTTGAGCTGGTTTATATTATTACCGGCCTGGAGCTCTGGTGAGTTCGTTTAATACATCTGGTGGTGGAGGAGCACTTATTGGTGGTAAAAATGAAGAAGGCACAAGAATGAATTGTTATTTGTGGTGAACATTCTCACGGACTTTATACTTTATATTTGGTCATATGAATTTGATGTTTTTTGCACAGTAAATATCAGTAGTATATGAATTACATACTGTATTTTTCGCTCCATAAGACGCACTTTTCTCCCCCAAAAAAAGGGGGGAAAATGTCAGTGCGTCTTATATAGCGAATATGGAGCGGCCGGTCTGGTATTTCCGCCGCCACCGTGTCAGATTACCGGGCCAGCCGCTCAGCTCTTCTCTGGAGCAGGACCTTACCTGTTCCTCAGTCCAGCGCTGTACAGTCTTCCCGCGCCAGCATCTTTAGTGTGAGCACCCGCCTGTGACCAATGCGCATGCGCGAGAAGCGCTGCGCTTTGTGAATGATCCGGGGTCTTCTGGGACACATGACAGATCCCAGAAGACGCTGGGCCATTTACAAAGCACAGTGCTTCTCGCGCATGCGCAGTGGGCACCTGGCTGTCACAGCTGAGTGACCACACTAAAGGGAGGACAACTGTCAAATTCAGGTACCCACTCCCCCTCCCTCCCCAAAGGTCCGCAGTCTATTGGTTATCCCCTGTACTGTCTGCGGTCTCTGGTCATCCCCTGTACTGTCTGCAGTCTCTTGGTCATCCCCTGTACTGTCTGCAGTCTCTTGGTCATCCCCTGTACTGTCTGCAGTCTCTTGGTCATCCCCTGTACTGTCTGCAGTCTCTTGGTCATCCCCTGTACTGTGTCCGCAGTCTCTGGCCATCTCCTGTACTATGTTCGCAGTCTCTGGCCATCTCCTGTACTGTGTTCGCAGTCTCTGGTCATCTCCTGTACTGTGTCCGCAGTCTCTGGCCATCTCCTGTACTATGTTCGCAGTCTCTGGTCATCTTCTGTACTGTGTCTGCAGTCTCTGGTCATCTCCTGTACTGTGTCCGCAGTCTCTGGTCATCTGTAGTATGTCCGCGGTCTCTGGTCATCTCCTGTACTGTGTCCGCGGTCTCTGGTCATCTCCTGTACTGTGTCCGCGGTCTCTGGTCATCTCCTGTACTGTGTCCGCGGTCTCTGGTCATCTCCTGTACTGTGTCCGCGGTCTCTGGTCATCTCCTGTACTGTGTCCGCGGTCTCTGGTCATCTCCTGTACTGTGTCCGCGGTCTCTGGTCATCTCCTGTACTGTGTCCGCGGTCTCTGGTCATCTCCTGTACTGTGTCCGCGGTCTCTGGTCATCTCCTTTACTGTGTCCGCGGTCTCTGGTCATCTCCTGTACTGTGTCCGCGGTCTCTGGTCATCTCCTGTACTGTGTCCGCGGTCTCTGGTCATCTCCTGTACTGTGTCCGCGGTCTCTGGTCATCTCCTGTACTGTGTCCGCAGTCTCTGGTCATCTCCTGTACTGTGTCCGCAGTCTCTGGTCATCTCCTGTACTGTGTCCGCAGTCTCTGGTCATCTCCTGTACTGTGTCCGCAGTCTCTGGTCATCTCCTGTACTGTGTCCGCAGTCTCTGGTCATCTCCTGTACTGTGTCCGCAGTCTCTGGTCATCTCCTGTACTGTGTCCGCAGTCTCTGGTCATCTCCTGTACTGTGTCTGCAGTCTCTGGTCATCTCCTGTACTGTGTCCGCAGTCTCTGGTCATCTCCTGTACTGTGTCCGCAGTCTCTGGTCATCTCCTGTAGTATGTCCGCAGTCTCTGGTCATCTCCTGTACTGTGTCCGCAGTCTCTGGTCATTTCCTGTACTATGTCTGCAGTCCATTGGTTCAGAATATTTTTTTTTCTTGTTTTTCTCCTCTAAAACCGAGGCGCGTCTTATGGTCAGGTGCCTCTTATGGAGCGAAAAATACGGTACTTATTGCTCGGTAATTAATTATTGCACAGTGACACTTTTTGTTGCATATATGTTTTGCACATAGCACTTTGCATATGGCACATGGATGGATAAAAAAAATAAATATATATATATATATATATATATACACATATATATATATATATAAAGTTTTTTTAAGAGACCTGTTATATTTATTGTTTACACAATAGCACGTGACACTTTACATAATATTTATTAAAGCTGGGCATAAACAAAATAATGGGTGTTGGGTAGCGCTTTTTTTTTTTTTTTATTCCCAGGACCTGATGTTGCCATGTTAAAACTGCAGGATCTTTATGGGCCCTACATATAGCCTGAAAGTCCTGAAATAAAGTCTAGCAGCCATTTATTTCACTCAATGACTTTTTAAATTGCTGCATACCAACATCTTCTCCATTGTCCTAAAAAACACAAACCACTTACCTGACAAGATCCATTGCCAGCAATAACTTTGAGCCTTCAGCAGCCTGTCTTGTGGTAATGGCTACATTTCCAATGCAGACTCCATATTCATTGGCTCCCATCTCAGCACCCCACATCCAAGCTGGTTTACTCAGTATTACAGAATGCGTTTGGGCAACCTGGTCAATTTCCAGGTATGTGCACTGCAAGATAATAACAAACTTTAAAGATTTAATTATTAGCAAATAACAACATGATAAGTGGCTTACATTTTTTGTGGGGAGGGAGAACCATAATTGCAATCTCTGTGACCCGATGCACAATGCCTTGTATACACCACTGAATGAAATCACAGTTACGGCAAACTCCTAATGCATTGTGAGCATTATCTCCTTTTTGGCTGATGCAGACCTGATCATCTATGACATGCTAAGCTGGATGAAAAAACGTCTCCATGTATAGATGGTGGATAGAGGCAAAAGGCAGTACAAATATAAGTTATAGGTACAACAAAGATATGTTATGCAGCTTTTTTTAGAGGCAAATAGAATGTAATTGTGGCTTACATAAAATACAGTCAGGTCCATAAATATTGGGACATCGACACAATTCTAACATTTTTGGCTCTATACACCACCACAATGAATTTGAAATTAAATGAACAAGATGTGCTTTAACTGCAGACTGTCAGCTTTAATTTGAGGGTATTTACATCCAAATCAGGTGAACGGTGTAGGAATTACAACAGTTTGCATATGTGCCTCCCACTTGTTAAGGGACCAAAAGTAATGGGACAACTGGCTTCTCGGCTGTTCCATGGCCAGGTGTGTGTTATTCCCTCATTATCCCAATTACAATGAGCAGATAAAAGGTCCAGAGTTCATTTCAAGTGTGCTATTTGCATTTGGAATCTGTTGCTGTCAACTGTCAAGATGAGATCCAAAGAGCTGTCACTATCAGTGCAGCAAGCCATCATTAGGCTAAAACAAAACAAACCCATCAGAGAGATAGCAAAAACATTAGGCGTGGCCAAAACAACTGTTTGGAACATTCTTAAAAAGAAGGAACGCACCGGTGAGCTCAGCAACACCAAAAGACCCGGAAAACCGCGGAAAACAACTGTGGTGGATGAGCGAATAATTCTTTCCCTGGTGAAGAAAACACCCTTCATAACGGTTGGCCAGATCAAGAACACTCTCCAGGAGGTAGGTGTATGTGTGTCAAAGTCAACAATCAAGAGAAGACTTCACCAGAGTGAATACAGAGGGTTCACCACAAGATATAAACCATTGGTGAGCCTCAAAAACAGGAAGGCCAGATTAGAGTTTGCCAAACGACATGTAAAAAAGCCTTCACAGTTCTGGAACAACATCCTATGGACAGATGAGACCGAGATCAACTTGTACCAGAGTGATGGGAAGAGAAGAGTATGGAGAAGGAAAGGAACTGCTCATGATCCTAAGCATACCACCTCAACAGTGAAGCATGGTGGTGGTAGTGTCATGGCGTGGGCATGTATGGCTGCCAATGGAACTGGTTCTCTTGTATTTATTGATGATGTGACTGCTGACGAAGCAGCAGGATGAATTGTGAAGTGTTTCGGAAATATTATCTGCTCATATTCAGCCAAATGCTTCACAACTCATTGAACGCCTCTTCACAGTGCAGATGGACAGTGACCCAAAGCATACTGCAAAAGCAACCAAAGAGTTTTTTAAGGGAAAGAAGTGGAATGTTATGCAATGGTCAAGTCAATCACCTGACCTGAATCCGATTGAGCATGCATTTCACTTGCTGAAGACAAAACTGAAGGGAAAATGCCCCAAGAACAAGCAGGAACTGAAGACAGTTGCAGTAGAGGCCTGGCAGAGCATCACCAGGGATGAAACCCAGCGTCTGGTGATGTCTATGCGTTCCAGACTTCAGGCTGTAATTGACTGCAAAGGATTTGCAACCAAGTATTAAAAAGTGAAAGTTTGATTTATGATTATTATTCTGTCCCATTACTTTTGGTCTCTTAACAAGTGGGAGGCACATATGCAAACTGTTGTAATTCCTACACCGTTCACCTGATTTGGATGTAAATACCCTTAAATTAAAGCTGACAGTCTGCAGTTAAAGCACGTCTTGTTCGTTTCATTTCAAATCCATTGTGGTGGTGTATAGAGCCAAAAATGTTAGAATTGTGTCCATGTCCCAATATTTATGGACCTGACTGTAGGTATTAATACCATTTTAAACAGTATACTAGAAGTTTGATGAAATGATATGAAAAGACTACATTTCAGATGACAGTTTACTGAAGTACATCTAAATGTTCCTGTGTGGCAGTCTATACAGGTCCCAAATCCAGTTACAATGCGGTGAGTGTTTCAGCAACCCAGGTAGTGCTGTCAATCCAGTAAGCAAGAGGTAGACACAGCCTACATGTTGACAATGCTGCTCTGAGTTCAGAGTGGTGCAAAAGTGTTGTCACCCCATCACAGGGAGCTGTGCGGCACTGGCAGAATGCAGTGCAGATGTGCTTACAATTTAGGCTCCATGCACACTGGGCGTTTTAATAACACTGGTAATGTTGGCTGTGTAAAGTCACGTTAAAAACGTGAGTTTTTCAGTGTTTTTAAATTTTTTGTGTTTTTTTTTTTACCCCCCCCAAAAACACTGGTTTGCTGCATTTTATCGCATTTTTAAGTGTTAGAGCGTTTTTACAGGTAAAAAAATCCTCTAGAAACCCACTAGTTCTGGGTTTTTTCCAGCCAAAAAACACCCCTTCCAAAAAACGTTGATTACAGTTTATGTGTGCATGGACACATAGGATACCATACTTGAGAGTTTACTGGCTGTAGAAAAAAAAAAAAAAAAACGCCAAAAGCCAAAAACAGCCGCTGTAAAAAACGTCCAGTGTGCATGAGGACTAAGTGTTGTTGCAAATTTTTTTCAGGAAAGGCCATAGTTCTGTTTTTTTTGTGGGAATAACATTTTGCAAACACAAGGAATGTTTGGCTTACTGATCCCGCTAATTCCTCATGCACACTGGACATTTTTACAGCTGCTGTTTTTGGCTTTTGATGTTTTTTTTCTACAGCCAGTAAACCCCAGGCATGTTATCCTGTGTCCATGCACACAGACTGCACATATAGACTGTAATCAAAGTTTTTTTGGCTGGGATGTTTTTTGGCTGGAAAAAAAACCCAGGACTAGTGGGTTTCTCAAGGAGTTTTTTATCTCTAAAAACGCTCTAATGAAAAATGTGGTAAGATGCTGCAAACTGGCGTTTGTTTTTTTTTTTAAAACTGCAAACGTGGAAAAACGTGGGAAAACGCCACTAAACACTAATGCAAAAATGCTAAAAAAAGCTGAAAACTCATGTGACTTTACACAGCTAACGTTACCAGCATTATCAAAATGTCCAGTGTGCATGGAGCCTAAATGTCATTATAGTTTACCCCAGCCTCAGGCTATTTTCAGCCAAAAGGTATAATAACATAGAACATCAGATTGTACTTTGCTGTATGGAATATGTAGTATTATATGAACATGAATATTTTAACAGTGATATACTGTATATGTAATACAACACACAAAAATGTAATGTTTTAAAACGTAAAGTTTATTCTGCCAAGGTTCCCATATTTTTTTTTTTCATTAGACAAAGGTTCCCTATACTTGTACAGAACAGCAACAAAGCACAAGCATACAATAAATGAAAACCACTTTATGAGGACCAAAATGGGTAACCTGGCTGATCACATGACCAGTTAGCAATTCAGGTCAGGCTCACGATGTGACAAGCTACAGCATGAGCCCATTCATCAAGCAGAGCACAATGTTCTGCTCCTTCTCCTACACATGCTTGGCTGTCCTTTGTGTACTTTTTATGGTTTTCTGCTCCTACTTACAGGGAAATGACAATAGGCAATGGAAAGTCAGAAATATTCGAATAATCACTGGGCAGGAATCAGCTAAATTGGTACACGTCAGTACATCCTGGAACAAAAGTCTAATTGAAAGCTAAAGCAAGCAACATTTTCCTTTGTAGCTTTCCATTTGTCTCAGAATAAAAAGAGATGTACAAAATGTTTTCTCCTTTTAAGAGACCAGAAACCAAGATGACACATAAGACTCAAATATTCAAGTCTGATGCACTTTGTTTCATTGATCAACCATCCTCAGCCTCATATTCTGGAAGCACAAAATTTCCCACTGAAGCAGAGGACAGATCTGTCTGTGATAATTTTTAAAGGTCATTTCACCCAAAACTAGTACTTTAGACACAAACTAGCTTTTTTAACTGTGCCATGGCCTCCAACAGAACGATTTCTGCACCTAGGTTTCCAGGCAGCAATGAGACCCCTTTGGCCACCACCAGAGAGGTCTCATTGCTTCTCCTTGGATTTATCATTCTTCTTACTTTATGGGGAGCAAAGCAGAAGGACTGAGATCTTCTCCCTCCAACAGTAGGATATGACTCCATGTACACACAAATCAAAGCCTTGAGGTAAGGACAATGGGTGGTCTTTTGATACTGGTGATGGCTGCACTACACGTTAGGCGTTTTGGCCTTGTTACTAGTGTACCAACATAAAGCCTTAGGCCAGCCTGATCCCACCCTAGATTTAACGCTAGGTGGGGACTGGCTCATTCTATGGAGGTTGGTCCTTTTTGCCAACAAAGATGATAAAACATGGAAGTTATGAATTGCATGTGTACTGTGTCAATTCTTCAGTTAAGCCATGTGGGCACAGCTCAAGATTATGGCATACTCGAAGATGGACAAGTGTCTCCATGCTCATTCTCAGGGAGTCATCTTCTCTGTCTATGGACAACCTTTGGAACCAAGTTGTGAAGACTCCAACAAATACGGATACAGAGTAAGACAGTCCATACATTCATAATTTTTCATCATCTGATGTGGATGGGGGGGGTCCTCCTGCTGTGCTATTGTGTTATGATGGAAGGGAGCCTTCCCTGCCATCAAAATACAATGATCAGTGCTGTCGGCTATAGGTGGCAGCACAGATCGATTGGAAAAAATCCTACAGGCTGGTTATACAGAAGTTGATGTGTAGATCAACTTCTGTACAACGAGGATACCCATCCATGGATCTAAATTTGTCTGGTCCCTGCTGAACCACATGAATTTCAATCTATTTATGGATGGCTTAAACCATTAGGTGATCAACCAAGCAGGCTCTATCTGTAAATGAAGTATCAGTTTTGGGTCAGCTGTAGTCTTTACACATGCAAAACCCAGAAAAAAAAAAATAATTTTTAAGACCGTATTCATTGGCCAAGGTTCATTGTGGCAAAGAAATCTTCTAACCAAAATTACAATAAATGAAACTTCCAACCAAAAATAAATAAAGTAGATTATAAACTTGTGTGCAGGTGAATGTACAGTACGTAAAGCACTACATACATTGTTGGCACTATATAAATCCCTTTAATAAATAACACAAAGTCTCAAATACTCTAACAAATCACCCTGGTCTATATACTACCAAACATCATACAAAGGAACTTGGTCTAGTAGGAAAACCAATAATGGTATATGTACAGTATATGTATACCTATATAACTCACTGTATGTGTACATGAGACTTGTTCCAAGCTAATTACAGTGATTGCATAAGGTCACATAAGATGTTTATCCAGCCTTACCCTTACCTGAACTTTGCTTCCAGGACCATGGCTTTTGGATGGCTCATACAGCACTTCTTGGATTTCATCTCTGGGACGGGCAGAATTCTTCCCAAACAAAATGCAGCTATTTTTTGTATGGGGTGGAAAGGCCACAAAACAAAAGCTTGGAGGTGCTCCAGTCATACTACAGAAAAACAACATTACAGATTTATTAATCATTTGTGGATTAAGTTATAACTTTTTTAGCCTGAGTTCACACTGATGCGGTGCGGAATTTGCGCTTTTTTGGTGCGGATGCAGTGCGATTTGAGCCATATAAAATGTATGGTTCAAATCACACCACACAGAATTCGCATGTGATTTGCACAAGAATGCGATGCGGTTCCTGTGCGAATCACATGCAATATGCCGCACCGTAAAAGTGTGAACCCAGGCTTACTAATTAAATCTGCAAGCTTTCGAGACAGATTTAAATTAAAATGTAAACCTATGTCTGTGGAAGTGCAACCAATGCACCTTCGCAATACACCTGCGTTGCAATACATGCATTGTGGTGTGCTGCATCAGAAAGAAAAAAAAGGTGCTTGTTTGTTTGGTTTTTAATGTTAGTGCACTGGCAATGCATTGAAATCAATATGCTACCTTAAAGTAGTTGTAAATTACATTTTTTACTTTAATGCATTCCCTGCAAAAAAAGGTAAAAAATGTCCCAGCAGTTGTATGCCCCCCCCCCCCAAATACTCACCTGTTCGGTAGAAGCTCTCTCATATTTCCCTGCATTCACAATACAGAAAGGCAGTAGCAGGAGTCATTGGCTCCTGCTGCTGTCAATCACATCCTGTGAGCAGAGAGTAGGAGGCGGGGCCAAGCTGTGCTGCGTGTGTCTAGGGATGCACATAGCCCAGCTCGGGATCGAGCCCACATGTGCACCCCCATAGGAAGAGGCTTCCTATGGTGGCACACGGAGAAGAGGAGGAGACAAGAGCGCTGGTAGGGGGAACCCCAGAAAAGGTGACACTCTGTGGAATACCAGTACAAACATATTTATTAATAAAAAATATATATTTTACACTTTACAGTCACTTTAACCACTTCAAGTCCGGACACTTTCACCATCTTCCTGTCCAGGCCAATTTTCAGTGCTATCAAACTTTGAATGACAGTTACGCGGTCATGCAACACTGTACCCATATGAATGTTTTAGCATTTTTTTGAGACAGATAAAACTTTATTTTGGTGGTATTGAAAATGAAAAAGTCCAAACATTTTGAAAAAAAAGTGTTTTTCTTATAAAATTTGCAAATAAATATTCTTTCTTCATAAATCTTGGCCAAAATGTATTCAGATATCTTTTTAGTAAAAAAAAAATAACCCAAATTAGTTTATAACCAAAAATTATAATTTTTCAAAAAAAAGTTTAAATTTTTTTTTTCTATATTATTATTTATGGGTTTTTTTTAAGCATACCATCACCCTAGCAATACAGTGTCACCATAGTGACACTGTACTACTTGTAAAAGCAATCATTTCTCCTTCTCTCTGGCTGCATTCTTGCAGCCATTCAGAAATACTGTTAGAGTTGTGATTGGTCACAGCTTGTCACATGGTACAAAGCTGTTTTGAATAGCCTTGTACCATGTGACCTCTGTGATCATTCACAGATTTCACTAGTAGTAAGCAATGATGTCAGGAAGTGACATCTTGTTTACTACTGTTCATGTGATCACTGATTGGCCTATTAGGGATCACATGAATCGGGACTTCACACAGAGGTCCCGTACAGCGATCTGTGATCCTCCGGACACAGTGGGCACCGGATCGTGGTGCCACGCGCTCCCAGGGAGTGTGCACAGGCAGTGAATGCGGGGGCCATTTATAAATGGCAGACCGCTTCGGCACTGCTCCCATCCGGCCGTTTATGTATATGGGCCGGACCGGAAGAGGTTAATGTGGTTCTAAAGGCAAGACATTTTCACCTTAATGCATTCCCTGTATTAAGGTAGAAAATGTCCCAGTAGTTATATTGCCCACCCCCCAACCTCCCTATATACTTACCTGAGTCCTATCTCGATCCAGCGCCATGGCTGTCTGAAGAGGCTCTGGTCTCTGCTCCTTTCCTCACAGGACACAAAGGCAGCAGCAGGAGCCATTTTTTTAGCACAGATTCAGGCAAATACACTGCTTTTGCGATCTTATTTTGGGGTGTCGTAAACTTTAAATTGACACCCTCAGCAGATTGCAGTACACAGTGTGATTGCAATGCGGTGGAGGAAATGTACAGGGATTTTCCTGCACCGCATATGCATGAACTGGGCCTTAAGCCTAGCACACATGATCAGAAAATCGTATGAAAAATACCGCTTTGAAGCAATCATATACTAATCTGATCGTTAGTACACAGCTTTCCTCCGAAATTATTTGAAGGGACGAGCACAAAAATGCTTGCACGTTACCAGATCATACAATTTTCATTTACTCAGTACAATTTTTGGCAGAAAATACAATACAAATACATGACATCACTTCTGAATTTTCTATCGTGCGAAAAGTTTTGTAACTAGTAACCTCTTCACTTTCGATATGAGACTAGCATGCAAAAAAAAATTGGACGATTATTGGTTCGATATTCTTACCTTGTGTATGGGGCTTTAAAGTAGAACTATGGCCTCCAATAAAAGAAAAAGGAATTGACTAAAAATCCTTATCTTAGTAAGTACAGGACACTGAACTTGTATTCTAAGGTTCATGTACACTGCAGCTGATAAACTCACGTTTAGGAGCTGTTCAGCGTTTTTTTCAGCAGCCCCTGAACTCACCCTAATGTTTTCCTATGTGTCCATGTACACATCTTTGTTTACAGTCGTATACAGGCATTTGACTTTACAGTTGTTTTTTGAACGCAGAAAACTTGCGTTCAGCAGTCGATTTTATCAGCGTTTCAAACGCAATACGCTTGTAAACGCAGTAAAGCGCGTTTATAAGTGTTTGTGTCTGAAAATTTGTTTTAACTCTTCCAGTTCCCAATGCTGTCCAGAGCCTTTTTTCATCATGAAAAATGCATGCAAAGTGTTTTTCAAGGTACTCAGATGGACAAAACACTGAACACAGGACGTTCCTACCAACCTTCTCACACATTGTAATGACTAATTCACACCTCAGACCTCTCCCCCCTTGGAAACAAAAGATATGTTAATGACCATTCACACCTCAAATTCCTCATGCAGACCCCCTGCCAGGTGGCCTTAATTACTCACTCCACCAGACACCTTTCCCACCCTTGGAAACAAAAGAAATGTTAATGAGCAACTCACACCTAAGCTAATCTCAACACATACTGCTGTCTCTGCTTCTACTCTCTGTATTTCTCTGAAACAGTCTGAAATAGTTAATAATTTACCACTTTTCAGTGCATTCTGGGCATTTGGGAGGTTCTCCTGTGCTTATCTTTAAAAAACGCTTCTAAACGCAAACGCACATAAACGCGTTATGTAAACGCAGCTAAACAGACGTTTGTTTGACCTACGTTTTCCAGCAGTCAGTTTCCATCATTCAGAAGTGTCCCGTGTACATGGGGCCTTAGACAATGGGTTATTTGAGGCATGTAAATGATTGTGTCTCTGACCTTATCTTGCTACAAAGTTACAATGTTGCAGTCTGATCACTGGGGGAGAGGAGTCCAAAATGCTTCCTCATGCCTGCAACCCATGGATGGCATTGTCCCAGACCTGACTGGAGCTTCACAACTGCTTGTATATTAAGTAGATTCACTTGAATGCGATGCTGGAAACTGCACAATTCGTGCGTGTCTCCCACACCGCATTCCAATCGCACTGCCCTTATGATCTGCTGCAGGTGTCAATACAAAGTTAACTACACCCCAACCACAGGTCGCAAACACAATGCATTTGCATGCACTGGAACGCACGGTACAAAAACGACAATGCAATCCAGTTGCGGTGCGGCTCCAAGAGTGCATGCAAGTCTTTAATGTGATGTGGTGAAATCAGAGCTCATTCAAAATGAATGGGCTCAAATCATGCTGCACTGAATCGCGTGAGAATTGTACAGAAATGCGGTGTGGCTCCTGTGTGATTCACATTCAACTAATAGTGTGAACCAAGGGTATAAAAGATTATAAAAACAGGCCAATAAGTAGTGAGTGTGTATGAATTATATCTGGAGAATAAGAATATTGTTTAGTGTCACATTAACCACTTGCCGGCCAGACAGGTAAAGCGTGGTTGTCCATTTCTGGGACGGCATCCATGGATGTCCTCCCAGAACCCTGCCCCCTGGGCATGCTCTGTGACTGTTGTGTCCTTTGGACCCAGCTGATCACAGATCAGGGTAAAGGGCCAGTCACAGTGGCCATTTACCATGTGACTAGTGGTGTCCAATCACAGATGATCAAATGTAAACAGACTTGATGGTTATCCGCATTCCTTTCCTCACACGTTATGTCTGCGTGAGGAAAGGGAGAGCACATAGCTGTTAGTACATCAGTTTTACATCAGTGCCCTGATTATCAGTGCAGCCCCATCAGTGCCAATCAAAGCCCATCAGTGCAGCTTATCAGTCCCACCTATCAGTGCAGTCTCATCAGAGCCCACATGTGCAGCCTCATTCGTGCCCATCAGTGCACATCAGAGAAGCCTCATCAGTGCACTTCAGTGCAGCTTATTAGTGCAGGCTCATCTGTGCCCATCAGTGCACATCAGAGGAGCCTCATCAGTGCAGCCTCATGAGTGCCCATCAGTGCAGCCTGTCAGTGCCCATTAGTGCAGCCTCATGAGTGCCCATCTGTGCAGCCTCATGAGTGCCCATCAGTGCAGCCCATTAGTGCAAAACTTTATAACAGAGACTAAGAAAAACGTTTTCTTTCAAATGTATCGGTCTTTTTTCATTTGTTTAGCAAAAAAATGAAAAAAAAACAGTGGTGATTAAATACCACCAAAAGAAAGCTCTATCTGTCTAAAAAAAATTTAAAAATTTCATTTTCATATGGTTATAGTGTTGCATGACTGTGCAATCATCATTCAAAATGCAACAGCACTGAAAGCTGAAAATTTGCCTGAGCAGGAAGGGGGTGAAAGTGCCCGGTATTGAAGTGGTTAATTTTTTTTTTTTTTTTTACTGTATATAGTCTCATGTCAGGAATTTATTCATACAAACCTGTTAAAGTG